GAGACTGTTAATCGAGCTACAAATGATCTAGTTTTTTGTAAAAAATTACACTAATTTTTAATTTCACATTAAGAGAACAACAATTTTCGTTAAATACGCCTACAAATTTTCAAAAATCGCACAAGAAATGAAAACATCAATACCATCAAGGAACCTAGTGTACATATGTCATTTACCTTCCGCTGAAAGAAAATGAATAGCATAATTCATTATGAAAATATTTAAGATGTGTAGGGTAAATATGAAATTTACAGAACGTCAAATCAAGTGTAGATTGCAGTATTTTTATAAATTTAACGTTTTTACTAACATATGTCTCATAAAAATAAGTAACGGATTCAACTTGAATGTTGCACTGACGATACAAGTAATATATACAGTGACATATATGATAATATACAAAATACTTTCGGACATTGGATTTTGGTGAGTTTTAAAAGCGTTTGTGCATATTTTATATTTACTCTTATGTATTTGTATCAGGTGCTCACAATACCCAACAGTGTATTTTGTGATTGCACGACAATCAATAGGATGATACGTCACTTGATCTTGAGATCTTGACGAGTTCGAAGTTCTTGAAACACTTCATTAGTTTGGAGAACCGTGCTATTGTATACTCACGAATTAAAACATAACCATGCAATTTTGTTGACCGTGAATGCTTCTAGGCTGTTTCTAAACACTGGCAAGCTTTTGATTATTATTTGATTTATTATTTATAAGAAGCAGACATCTTTTCGGAATTGTATCACAGTAAATTACTTTTCACGATAGCGGTGGTTTTTATCTGTGATTTAGCATTTTGAGCCCCCAATTTAGGTTTACAAATGACAAAATTGGTTAAAATTCACAAAATATGTAACCGCATACAAAGTTAGTTCAGAAATATTTCTTATTTGTTTTTTTATTTTAAATTAAAGAACAATTAAAGAATTATACATTCTTCATTACAACATTAAATTTCATTTTTGTTTGGATATTTTAAGGCCGTAAATTGAGCATGAATTTAGCTAAATCGACAAAAAAAGGACGAGGTAAATATTTTGTCAGGATCACCCATCAAATCGTTTAATGACAGTGATACTTACATTTTGTACATTTTAGGACTGAATAATTGTAGTAGTATTTTTGAATATTTATGTATAATATCATTTTAGGTATTTGAATTTGACATTTATATTTGAATGTCAAAATGCCAATATTTGTGTAAAATGAATCGATTTGAAATGTTTTGAAATGATTCTAGTTATTATGACAGATATGGAAAAATACAAAAGTGAAAATTACTTTTAATATGATGTTTTAAGATCGAAAACTATGTAGACAGTTGTCGAAATCGATCGAAATGCACGAACTTAAACATCATTTCAGCCATTCCATACACAAGGATGCATTACATTTCTTGTTTAAACATTGAGTCTATACAGTATCAGGATTCATCTTTAACTATGAAACGTTCAACGGAATTTCTGGAATTCTGCTTGTATGTTTGTCAACCAAAGTCAGATCCAGTCCCGGAAGAAAGGATGAATTCCGGGATGGAATCTGATGAAAAAAAATCGTTTCCCTTTAGTCGCACATCCCATCTGGATCGTTGAAAACATGTATGACAAATAGGTTATTACGTAACAAACAAAATTTTACAAATATTTTTTTTTAGAATTAGGTCAACGGCCCGGGGTCATTGGAACACTAATTACGTTTCCCTATCCGCACCGCTTGTTATAAAGGAAACACATATTTGTGGATCTCATCAAAACTAATTAACATTTTAATGATGAGTAATATGTTTTAAAATTGAATCATTACACGAGAGATATTGATACTTAGCAGATCGGCAAGCTTTGCGCCAAGGAATTTTGAATGATTGTTATCTATGCCAATTGAAATAGTGGGAGACATTTTCGTAATTTATTCCTGACGTCAGATCTTAGGCATGTTTTGCAACCTTCGTGAATATAATTATAGCTTCAGTCAGTCACATATAACACATTTTTGATATAACTAAGTTCCAACTGTTTATCCGAAATTATAATACCGGCGATCAGAAGTGTCGAGTATGATTTTAATTTCAACAACAGAAGTACAATAACAACGAACGGGTTTGTAATATCAACAAGTTAATTTAAGTGGTTATTTTTATGTGAAGCGATTCATTTTAGTTGGATTATATTCTCACTAATAGAAATAGTGGCTTAGATACAAAGCCAGTCTGCTTACAGTCTAGCAATCTAGTCACACCTCTCACACAGAATTCTGATATATGGATCACATGTGCTACAAATGAGAACGTTATTTACTCATTTTACTGTAAACATTTCAATAAACAACACTACACTACACTACACTACACTACGCTACACTACACTACACTGCACTACACTGTATTCGTATAAAATAAGTAACACACGCTAATCTATTTTAGTAACAGTTAACTGATCTATGACGATATGCACATCCTGTGGGATTTACGACAACACCTGCACAAGTACTCAAAACAACTTTAATGAGGTCATGATCTTATAATTTAAAGATTTATATGATAAATGGCATGTTATAATTGAGGCGTTATAACAAGTGAAAATATTAAATAAATAAATAAATAAAACTCAAGTAATTTCGATGTCACCATCACAACTCCGGAGATGCAGGGAGTTAAGGCATGATTTGCGTTTTTCATCAATATCCCCATTTTGAGCGAAGTAATATCACAATACCTTGCAAACATCTGCAAAATGAAATGTTGCTTGACAAAAAATTAAAGGGAGGTGGTCGTCGCGCCCTGCGTCCTGTCGATATGGGACTCATAGCGACGTATACAACGCGTGTATTATAGATGCCGCGCAGCGACCAACGCCCTTTAATGTTTTAGCTATCTGGGTGCTGTTGCATATGCATACCATGAACATAATAACATTTCCATCGTACAACAATTGACACTTAGATTAGTTTTAGGTGGATTTAAAATAACAATAACAAGAATTGATAAAAAGTCTTTGGTGCACGTGTTCGTAATACAAGGCAGCGTACAAATATTGTCGACATTAAGGCTATGGCGGGTTTCTTTAAAAATAAGTGGTCGTTATTTGTTTTGTTGATAAGAATGATAATACACATACTGATGAATCTTGATAATTGATGAAACGCTTGAATTCTCAGAATATTTGGTATGATTAATATTTCGTTCTCAGTAATGACCACATTCTTGAACCGCTAAATAAAAGATACAAAATATTCTTATACAAACGCAATACATAGATCAATGACATTAGTATTTGTTTATTTATTTAATGTTACATGTACATACAACATCTTATTTATTTGGGTTACCGTTGGTGTCGTATCAATTGACTTTCCTCGTCAAACCGTCACAAAATATGTTATATTTAACAGTTATTCTTCAACTATCTCGACATACGATCTAAAATATGCAAAATATGCTTTTGTGGTTTGAAATGAAAAGGTTATCGACATATTAACGATGTAGGAATGTCACATCAAACAAGGTCAATGACTGACGTCGTCGTTTTTGTCACGCGATGACGGCGGCAGTTACCGTGGCCACATAGACAAATATATGAAAAAACAGCAATCGACAAATATTATGATGTCAAAAGCTAATATATTTTTGTTATGGTATATATAAAACTAGACACTCACATTTGTCATTTGCCACAGATTGAACTATGATGAATAATATCGATTTTTTAACTTCGTTATTTTGAATATTGGGATGATGCTAAACTATTTTTGGCGCCATAGTTGGCGCAACATTTTGCAAATTTTAAGATGTGTTTATCTATAAATATTTCTTATAATTGTGGATATAATTTCCTATTGACTACAGACAGGTCTTGTTCAAAATCGTAGAGCCAGTAGTTTCCATATACTGTTGACTCATCATTAACTGTTGTGGATGGTGACACCGAATATTATCACTGCTATATAAAATATAATATTCACACATGTGAATATTAACGTTGTCATGTTATAATTATAATATCGCTGTGCCATGATCCTGTTTTATATCTAAATAAAATAAGAACTACTCCAGATGTTAGTGTGCCTGAAATACAATGTAAATACACTGTCGGCAGAAGGTCAAAATTGGGTGTAATATACAGTCGATTTCAGGTACAAAGATACCTGTAAGTAAGTATATTTCGTGTAAACCTTTTGCAGTGGAATGCTAGTGAATCAATTTTGTATTGACAATCCATAACAAGGGATGTAATGTGTATCATATACAAAATGCAACCGTCAATATATTCGCAAGATAGAGCCGATGATAACTGCGATAGTTTTCTGGCGACTGAGTATTCGGCATCGTAGGGGATCACCAAATAACGTCGAAAACCACGATGGATCTTCTCTTCGACTCTCTGAAGATGACAACATTGCAAAATTAAAATTCGATAAAAAGCAATATCCAATCACTCTTAATTTACTTTATATTACGGCTATTCAGGTTCTCCTCTCAGAAAATGTAGACAATTGAAATTTGAACACATAACATTATGTGTTTCCAAGGTTGATTTCGCCTAGCGGGCAGCTGAAGATATAGCACTTACAATCAACATGCAAGTGCTGACATTAGGAAACATGATTGCACATAATTTAAGGGTATATTATTACGTCCTGCTGTGACAGTATGGCCAATTACTAATCATGAGTCAGAATTGAAGAGTACTAAGAACTGAGAAGGATAAGATAGCCCAATGCACAATGATTATCTATTATTGTCGGATGTTATTAATATAGTTCCCGTCGTTTGTGACATGCCTCGCAATAAGGTTGATGCGGCTCACTGAGGTTCATACATCATTGTTATGAACATGTATTGAAGACGAAACACCTGTCCTACCAGCATTCCGTGCTAAATTGCTTTTCAATCAATTTGAATAAAATGAATAATCGGAATTTATAATTAGAATATTCATATCGATACATGTATAAAAGTGCAAAGAATGTTCGACTGACACCAGTTGACGGTCTGAAGCGAGAGCTCACAAGATGATGTCGAACAAATTGGGATGTTTGGTATTTCTAGCCTCGTTGTTGTTACTAGAGGTCCATGCACAGGTGAGATAAAATATTCTAACATCGAAACTATGCGTTTTACAGGAATATTGTTCGTCAAAATAATATAAAACACAAACAAGGCGTAAGATACATTCACATCTTCATATACTTAATTATACTGTTATTTTTATATTATTCAAAGAAAAGCACGATTAGGTTTTTGTCTGATGTACTCAATTTTATTTCATTTTTCGTTCTATAAGGCGGGACCAGAATTGATGAGAAAAAGAGGACCACCATTGATGAGAAAGAGGGGTGAGTTAAACAATTTTATTTGATTAATATATCCACGCCATATAAATTAATCATTCGGATTAAAATTGAATCTCAATTCCTAATTAGTTGATTGTTGTCATGCGTTGAAGGAAAGTTATGGACTTTAAACTCACAAATCACTAGGCAGGTATTTCATCTCCATTCTAATTGAATGTAGTCATGATAGTGTATAAGTTAAATGTATAGACTGTCATTGTAAATTGCATCATACTCAAGTAAGCATGGTGACATTTCGATGGTTTACTTCACGTTTCGATTAATGGACATTTGTGCCTTCCTCAATTCACTAATAACTGATGAAGGCAGGTACTGTGCAACGCTTTCTTAGAACCATGGATACTCGAGATTGTGCTATGACGGAACAATTACAATGCCATAGTTGAAGTGTAATGCCTTCTTCTCCATTAACCAGTCAGCACAGATCGTACGATGAGCTGAAACGATGTTATTTGGATATAGTTCATGTACATATTTTATACACGTAAACTAAATATGCTGCTCGATTTCAAATATCCACCTCGATCAAACTCCAATTTGTGAATGTTTAACACACTATTTTGTCTAATATACTTAGTATGCAAATAATTGACTAAATTAGCAGTATTGAAACAATATATTGGACAATGTTTTGTCAAAGACTTGTATTACAATAATAAATAACATCGTATTTTGCTTTTTCAGCGAAACGTTTTTTTTGAAAATCATATCAGCTATGACACCAAACAATGACGTGTAATTCCGAACGCTTTAATTCAAATAAATATACTATTTACAAATTTAGGAAGTGGTGTGGTCAAGGATCCTAGTGAAGAAGGTTGTGTCAGCTGGTATCCAGACTCCCCCTGGAGCTGCAGTGATGGTTCTGGCATTTGTATGTCTGATAACAACATATGCGACGGTTTCAAAGTTTGTGACGATGGGGGTGATGAGAATGACTGTGGTAAGTTCTACATTATGTTTGAGTTGATGTATAGTAAATTTGTATTAGTTTATCAGTTTATTTCCAAATCCCTACTATGCATTCTGGATGGAAAACCTCAGTTATTATAATCAAACATTAATCTTAACATATCTCATATTATTATACTATATATAGCAGTTATTATACATTATATTTTATCTGAAACCACAAATTGTCATCATCTAGAAATATATTCATTTATTCATGAATAAACGGCTTTATTTAATATATCTGGATGATAGAGGAACTACACAAAAGGATTCATGCATCGTTTTATTCTTACTATAGGTTGGGGTGAAACTGACGGAAACGGTTGCACGAAACCCAGACAAATCGGAAACACGGGGATTGATGATCTGAAAAAACAGATTCTAGATGCTCATAATTATTTCCGATGTCTTCACGGATCGCCACCTCTTGTATGGGATAAAACACTCGAACGATTTGGTAAGGGTGTGGCCACCGACAACAAGAACAAAGGGACGATTGAACATGCCAAGAATAACAAATACGGAGAGAATCTTGCGATGAATATGCTGGAATCTTCCGACGGAATCACTGGTAGGTTTTGATCTTTTCCGGGCAGCAGTATTATTATAGGTTTCTTTGTATATGGCATATATGTGAATCTAACGAACACTGATGATGCGATGACACTGTGATGATGCCGTATTTATAGTGTATACCTATATTTGTTGAATCTCGACCTGGATATAGTGTGATGTGCGGCGTGGCTTGGACTATTACGTAACTTTCGTACATAAATTTGCGTTGGATGTTTGTGAATAGCACATGTGACTGACCGACGCGCAATAACTTCTGTTCATTCACTAAATCGTGTTGCACTGGTCTCTGTTATATTTAGGGTTCGGATTTACTAAGATGTGGTATGACGAGATCAAAGACTACAATTTCAATAATCCAGGATTTGACTGGAGAACTGGTAAGTAATTACACAACAAATATGACATCAAATATTCTAGCATAACACCACTGCCAACAATAATATTTTATAAATTAGTCATTTATTATTACTATCCCATGTACTAGTTTCAGGTGTTGTGTCCACATAAGTAAACATTGTATATTTTACTTACCACAACATTTTTTTGAAAATTACAATAAGGTGACGAAATTTTTTATATTTCATGCTTTCGATGAATTAATACGCTTACGTATATTCCTTATAGACATTTGGTCTGTGTCTACTATTTGCCTTTTCAAAACGTTTTATTTTCGGAAATGATAGAATATTTGGATTGATTTGTCGCTTTGTTTCTTCTGTTCCATTAAATATGTCAATTATAATGTTTAACAAAATCCTCTCTCCACTTGTAGGCCACTTCACCGCTCTTCTCTGGAAGGACACCAAGAAAGTTGGTTGCGACTTTGACAACCGTCCTGACGACTTTTTCACCCAGTTCTACGTCGCCTGTGAATACGACCCTCCAGGTAACGACATGACCGGAGATGCCTTCGAACAAAACGTGTTACCGTTACTTTAGACTTGTAATGTCAATGTACATGCAACTTCGTTTCTATCTAACATGGCTGCCTATTCTTGAAAACTGTTGTTTGGTTTATTTATGTGACATAAACCACTAGTTACTGGGTAGTACATTATGCAATTTAAGAGGTAGTTAATTTCATTCTATCGAATAATTAAATCAATCACGCAGGTGCATTCAATAAATAGGCGTGATAACATGTGAACATTTTTGTGGCGTAGATTTATATCAATGTTGTAGTTTGTTTTTAGTGATTGTACCGCATTCATATATGTTCTATACCATTGTTATACGTATTTGGGAAATTGTGGTTTTATACTCCTCAATACATTTAGCATGACTGCTGACCCCCTGTCTTTCAACTCACATTGTTTGGGCTATTTTACTTTATATCATCCGTAATGCCAAGGCAATACTAAAGGCTAATTGGTCGTTGTGTGACGTTCTTTCAATGTATTCAATGGAGAATCTATGCAAACATGTGTTGCCATTTTCAATTACGTCATACTATAACAATAATGCTAGTTGATTTCGTCGCATAAAATAGGCCGCCATGTTGGATACATGTGTTGATTGCAATTCAGAGCATGCAGCGGCTTCAACACGATTGATCCGCCTCTAAGTTACACTTTTTTGAGTAATTTAGCAAACATTGTTACTAACAATACTGCATTTAACTTCAATAGCAATAACGATCGTGGCTTTCTTTATGGTGCGTTATACTTACAATAGATGTTGTGTATTAAATAAACATTTATCGCTAACAAGTTTAGAAATGTTGTTTCCTTGTTGATTATTTCCCAATATACACATACACACATCTATTTACAATATGGTTGTGAGACACAACATATATGTGCTGTAATTACACATAGTACAATGTTGAATTAGAGAATGACAATTAGAAGAATATGTCGTTCACAAATCTCAAATAAAAAATATATAATCACCGAACTATATTTTTCGCACAAAAAAATCCAAACCTCGATATTGTAGACCCCTTGCCACTGATTCCTTATCATATCTCAAAATTACCCGTTGTCATGGTTTCGATTCTAGTGTTTCGTGCTTATATGTTTGCAATATGACTTTAACTTAGATTAGTTTCAACTGCTGTTCGACAGTGCAGGTAGACATAAACTGACTGTGGACAACTGGCTTATATGTATATGTGATTATCTGTGAAGCCAGAAATAGTAGTGTATGGACAGATTTTTTAAAGTATTATAAGTCCTCTGAATAATCTTAAAATTTGAAAATTCAAAAATGAACCAATCATTAAACCTGTGATCGTTTAACTGAATAAATTAATTTCGTCATGTATTTCGTAATCATCGCCCTGATTGGCAGTTTTTAGAAGAGATCACATTCGCAAAGTACCTTGCCACGAAATTAAACATTACTAAGAGATAGAAAAGCTATCAATGTCAGAATGTTATAAAAACACGGTCCTAATAGGTTTTGTTTTTAGTTTTAAATGAATTATTATTATTTTATTACGCACGTGTTTTCATCAGTATCTGTCACCGTAACGCCATAAGTTACAGCGTGCCGTAATTTTGAGGTATTTTACGGGGTATTTTCATCCTACAATATTAGGAAATGCGAATTCAAAATATAGAATGATTATGGGCGTAAGTCTTCTAATAACAAAAACAAACATGGCTGCCACCAGGGTTTGACCGGACTCCACACAAAAAAGTTCGCTGATTCTGTTCAAAACATTTTCGATTTCGGCATTCCCATGGTGTATCCTTGGAAGGAAAAGATGACGTAATAACCTCATAGTATTTTAATAATACCGTTGGATCTTCAGTTGAGTCGAAGTACATATTCAAGGCAGAATGGTATGCAAGTAATACCCATACAAGAAATAAAGTATCAAACACCCTGGGTAACGATAACGTCATTTGTATAAAACTAAGAAGACCATCATTCACAGTGGAGGTTTTTGGACTCGTAAATGCACACCTGTTAGTTACTAATAGAGAGTTTTAGGACTATTGTGTCTTCAGTCAGTATCAGGACGATGTGCTGCCCATTGTAGCATATTATAAATCCCAATTATCGGAATTAGCGATATCATACATACCGTCATGACATATAAAACTCTATGAATGTAAAACTCTATTACAACTAAATTCTTTCCAAGAAAAAAAACAACATAACTAATATTTTCTTGTTTTGTTTTGATGGCGGTGATTTAAAACAGCATCAGTAAATCCCACAGCATTATATAGGACTCGGAGAAGACTCTAAACTCACTAATGTGTTTGTTTTTTCAGCCCCACCCCAAAAGATGATTAGCCCAGTTGGTTGCATAGTGGTCGTAGACACCAATACGGAATTACTGTTTTTTTTTGGGGGGGATATACATTGAGAATGTTGTCGTTTAACTATTAAGAACATTTAACTATACGTAGAAGTTTGTGACAGATGGTCCAAACAGAACATCGAGGTAGACGACCATACAAAGCTTGTTTACCAGGTGTGACAGATGGGATTTCCCCAGGAGACGTACATTCTCATTAATTTATGTTTGATCACTTCTTGGGCACAATAAATGCGCACGTATATAAAAAATGTGTTATATAATTGATTTGGGTGAGTAGCCATGCCGACAGTTTACTGTTATATTGTTATATTGCTGTTAATTTTACCAGTCACCACGTTGGTCCAAATATCAGATGCCATCGAATCTTTCGAAAAGTAAGATTTCCCTTTTTACTTTGTAATTATGGGTATTATTTTCAATGTTTTACCGATTGTTTGTTCTATTTATTTCAGAAGCCTGTTGATAATAATGAAAAACTAAACAAGCAAGGTGCGTGTAACTGTTATATTATTTTTAATCGTAATGAAATCTACGTTTGATTATCAAGACGATTTGTCGCTATGCCTTTGTATAAAACGAGAAGTTAGTCGATTATAATATATCCCCAATATCTATAATTGTTTCAAAGTAGGCGACGATGGAGAGGATGAACAACACTGTGGTCAGTTTTGTCTCTATCTAACATTTGTATGACATTAAGTTAGTGTTTACATTTTTATTCTTTGCCTGAAAAAAATGTCTGCAATCATGTTAAATCGGAATATATATGGTTGTCCAGATCCACCAAAGTTCGTTCTCTTTTTATAATCATTATTCTAATTTTACTAACCTCCATTTCAACTTGATGATATATCGAAGAGTGTTTAAGTGTCATATACTACAAACTCTATAGAGAGGTAAGAAACTGAGGCATTCATTTCAACTTGGTTTCATGATGCTTGTAATCTCTTATGTTAATCCATTGGTGTCAGACACATTGTGTTGAACAATGTTACTCAAGTCAACAAAAAGAGCCAATGTGAAAATATATTACGTTTTGAGAGGATTCTCACATGAATTGTTACCATTGTACATACCACTGGTCAGGAATTAAAGCTTGAGATAATATATGGTGTGAAGGTTAGCGTATTTGTGTTTTTGTTTGTTTGTTTGTTTGTTTGAAAGGCGACTATAAATTTTCGTTTCTAAAAATCACTTTATTGCACGATTTTGTACAAAAATTATCACGCCCATAACACTATATAATTATATTGTTAGACCCACAGGGTTGTTCTTTTGTTCGACCCAAGTTAATGAAACTATAAGCTACATATAAATATACATACAACCATAGATTCTATGCATAGACTTGAAAATGTTATTGATATGTCTATAAATCTTTATTATACTGATGGCCAACGTTGGTGTCGTTTTAAAATATGACCTTATATTATCCGATTAATTGAACTCATATCTAAGAAGTATGCGTCCGACATTGCACTGTCACGTGATAATACTACATCATAATGTTGACTTACAATCATTGCAATATGCCCGTTACCAAGTAAATCTTTAGTCGACTACTAAACCAATCATCAAACACTGACTGTCACTGTAGAACAAACCGCGACGCAAACAAACGAATAAAGTTAAGTTATTCTTTCAATAATAATTCATTAAAATAGTTTGTTATTTGAAATAGAGCCAGAAAATGCAATTGACATGCAAATAAGATCAATAAGTTGGGCCATATTTGTAAAATATAATAATCAGATTATAAACATTCATAAAAGTACTTATTTAATACACATGGAATGTCAATGAAATGCATATTTTTATTTAGAAAACTTTATTATCGATATATTTATTCATTAGCAACATTTGGTATTATCGATAAGAATATATCATTTTTAATAGCTTAATCACTTCGACAACACTTATATGACCTTTGCATTATATGTTCTCACTAGTTTACGGTACTGAGTGTAGATTGTGTATTATTACAGACGGGGAAATTCTAAAGCCTCAACAGATTTGAAATCACATATTTTGGAAGCACACAACTACTTCCGGTGTTTACACCGTGTGCCTCCATTAACAATGGGACGAGGAGTTGGCAGCGTTCAGAAAGACAGTTGCCCATGACAACGTTCTACGAGAAACACTTCGTCATTCCGATAATAATAATATTTGTTATGAATAAGGTGAGGGCGTATTTCAAACAATTCAATATTTATACAAGAACTAGTTTTGACTGTTACCATCATTGTTATAAATTAGCTCAATAGCTGTGTCAATGATCTACGCTGGTGAAAACAGATGTGGACTTCCTTTACGGATAACGATTACAGAAAATGCTCTTTCATTATTATGAATTCTGTATATCGAATTAAATAATCTCTCACTATTGTTCATTAACGTTTGGAGAATAAACGATTAACAACAAGACTGTATATGTGATTTCTTTACTTCAGGATATATGCACAAGTGTGGTATAACCAAATTAATTTCTAAATAACTGGGACAGACCGGGAATGGATTGGAGAATAGGTACGTAATTCTTATTCATGATAGAGTTTTCGTTAAAAACTCGGAATTGATTCTATAAAATTTGCACTGTCTGTTATGCTTGAATGGCTATATTGGAATTACACATTCATACTTTATTACCGTAGCTTCTTAAAAAAAACGTAATACTAAGCACTGGTAATGTATATTTCGAAAAAAAAAGTTAATTTTACTGCATTAGTCCTGGCAAACAGTAATAAAGGTGGATGGATGGAACTATTTTACATCGTATGCTGCATTATTGAGTATTACCCGGCTGGAAACAACAGGACGGAACGGCAGTCCGAGAAGTATATCCATTCGCCTCTGTAAACAGAATCACAAATTTCTACGCCATATCTGGATTAGTGTTGACTACACACTGGATTCACCAACAGCCAACGGGTTTTACGAACGTTTCAACAGCAAATAACAAGAAATAATCTTTATTAGTGGAATTTTGAAATCAAGTTCAGTACTTGAAGTTTTATCAGTGCCTAATTATGTTTTATTTTCATAACAACCGTTCACTGCACCAAGCTGTTTTAATGAAATTAATATTGCGCATGCGCAAGATTTGATTAACGCTTCTATTCGAAATGAATGATTGTTTGTTTTTAAAGATTACATTGATTGCAGACATAAGCGTTATTTGGCAAATAGACAGGTGGTCGGGATGTTGTTTTAAAAATGTTAGAATGCATTTAATTGCCTTAAACAATGTATGTTACGTAGCAATTGTGGTGCTTTATGATCAGGAATATTTTAGCAAAGCTGACTCAAAAACGCAAAGCAATTAACATACTGCAGAGTTAACGTTTGTTGAACAAGAGTTTTATAGAAATCAAATAATTACACACAAAAAATCGATTTTTACAAATGTGTATCAAATAAGATGTTACTTTCACAAAAAAACGATAAATGGTGTAGAATATAAAAATGCCAGATAATTTGCGTATCAGCAAAGATTTGTACAAACCGCTGCTATGCAGAAAACAATTTTTAAAATGACCACACAAAAAACTCGATTTTGCCACCTCCTGGTGCATAATATAGGTTTGAAGAACCGGTATATAATAATAATTATGCAGCCAGATTGTCGCTGAAGTGTACATGTTTTCGTCGTCCACAATCCCTCATATTCGGCCTGTATTATATTAAAACAACATTAATGAGCGATCGAAGCAATTTTATAAATATAGCAACAACAAAATATGATATCGATTCATCGCATTCAACTAATACAATATATAATTTTACAAACATCCAAAACATTTGATTTAGCTTCGTTTACCCACCCAACCCGCCCAATAAGCCTCTAGACAGATCACGGAAAAATTGTATTTACACATCTGAATGAATAGACAATTTTATCTGATTAGTTGGCATGATCAGAATTGTTGTATTTGGAGATATGTGTATCCCTCCATACACTGCCTCTATGTAAATAAATGACTTCTGATTTGTCTCTAGTGACGATTGCGTGCACTCACAGCTAAAATAATAACCAAAATTGATTATTATGTTATCACAACTGGTGTTCATCTAATTCGTCCTCGTCTGTTGTATCGCCTTTCTCTCCTCCAGTGACAGCATCGTACTTTAACACGACCCGATCTCGAAGTGTTATAGTCTTATCTCCAAGTTTCCTTTCTTTCCGTTTCCAAATAACGATTCTTCCGCGCCTTCCCCTGTTCATTTCATAAAAAAACAATATTAGAAGCAATTCCCGACCCTTTATTAAATAAACAGCGACAACATAGTAAGGCAAAGCGATTATAAATCTTGTTATGGCAAATCAAATCCACTTTCTAGAATCAGAAACTACGATGTGAAATGAAGACGCTAATCCTGGAGTTCGATTCAAGTTCGAACAGATTTTTAATTATAAAAAGTTACATGCCGCTCTTTTTTATCAGTAAGTGATACGGCTCTTATGTCGGACGATTTATCAACCTGGTGCTTTCATAATTCGCTGATTGCTCTAATGCTCTGATTGCTTGTGATTCTTAACCTCTGAAGTTATTCAAATACATTTGTAAAATGTACAAAACATTTCGTTGACCTCAATATAACCCCACTTATACTGTTAGTTTTAATCTGTATGGGAATGAGTTTTTATTATTAGGTTAGTTTTCAGAGCATTTAATTTACTCAAATACATTTTGTTATCGTTGCTCATTACAAATGCGTCTACGAGTATAAAACATTTTGTTTGTCATTTACTTACCAACATCGACAGGTAACTATGGAAACTATAATGATTATGATAAGTATAGGGATACTGATGAAAGTGAGAAGGAATGGGATTTCGCCGTAAATCTCTCGTTTCTTCCCCTGGCTGTCGGTTGTAGTGGCGTCTGAAAAAAACATATATGTTACAATGCCGTGCATACAATTCATATATATGACCATGCTGGGCTAAGAACTACTTATATAAACCACCTTCGTTGTATTTTACGGGACAGTCTCGTGAATCTAGCGTGTAGCCAGACAATTATTATATTTAAGTTTTTTTGACACATTTAAATAAAATGATCTTTTCATACTATAAGAATCTATAACTATATATAATTATCCTATTATAAATGGGACATACCTAAATTATTGACAACGATGCTACGATGACTAAATTTGCATATTTTCGTGTAGTTTAAATTATTTAAACAATCATAAAGTCAAGTATAAAATATATTTTCTATATTTTACTAGACATTAAAACATTGGTCGCAGACGATTTCTCAAGACCTTTTAGAAACCAATACAGGTCTGCTATTCTATCGTTCTGCAAAGTAGTATTTCTTTGATTTTTACAATTACTTGACAACATAAAAGTTGCATTTAACGTAAAATCGTTTTTATATTAGTGTGGATTGTGAGTTTTTAATAATGTATACAGTTTCATCTGATGTCAACAATTCTACTATTGAAAATAATTTTAATTTTAAATTCTACTATATATCCTCAATTGTTTCAATGTATATACGTATAGTTAGTTGTGTTTTCTGCTGGACGCGTGAATTTAGATATACATTTTAAAGTTTTGATTAATTATACGATTTAATTTCTGACTATCGTTTAATAATTTCATTATTTAGTAACAGCTACATCGATTCTGAACATCAACCCCTAACATTTAATACATAATAGTAACATACAAAATACATTATAGTAACATACAAAAATGTTACCGTAATATACAAATACATCAGCGTAAAATACAGAATACATTACAGTGAAATACAATTTACATTACCTGTTGTGACGGTATGGTGCAATTCTTTGTTTTCGGCTGTAGACAAATACATAATAACGTTATAGAGGGCAGTATACATAAAAAGCGTTAGTGTAATAGAGAATGTGGCTACGCAACACATGATAGTCTAATTTCCTCGACATTAATAGCGTTGAAAAGCATTAGCAGCGATGACTCCTAAATGTTATCTTGACAAGTTTTGTTCACTGGATTGTATGAGCGGGGATGTTCTATAAATCGACGCCTCGTACTTAGACCGCTAACAGACGCACAATATTCTGCCAACGTATTGTATTGTACGTACTCTATGATTCTTGGATATATATATAATGACACGGCGCATAAGAAAGATCTTCAATACATACACTGACAGAAATAATAACTTGCTGTTTTTTCACTGACCTGTACATTCATCAATACTAAAAGCGCCCTCACCGTCCGTTACCATACTAACTGGACACGATTTGCAACTCAGTGTCCCCTCTTCGTCTTGATAGTGGTCACGTGGGCATGGTATGCAATAGGAATGGCGATAAAAATGTCCAATGGAACATTTCACTAATTGATTAAAAAAAATACATACATGTTATGTGACGTCATAGAAGTTAGGTTTTTGTCGTCGTTTTTTTTCTGTGTTCACTCACACAAGATGGATAACTCTAACAGTTAAAAACCGATGTTTATGATGTTTCTAAAAGACATGTTCTTTGATATAGGTAAACATTCAATTCGATCGGATATTGGGAGAGATGTGCGTTCGGTTGCCATGTAAACAATATGTTTTGAACAATTCTTCTTCAATATAGGGTTATTTGATTCGTTGAGAGAATAAACTATTCAAGATTCTATTTGATTGTTTTTTTTACAAATAAATCGAAGCTTACGCACATATTTAAATAAATATATTATTTATATTTTTTTCATAAGAAGACAGTAATATAATAGGGTAGCGGTATGTGTAAAAATAAGTATTTTGCTGCCGTGTCAGAGGTTTGCGCCTTCAAATGCTGTCTAGTTGCTGATAGATTGAACTCACACACTCACCACAGAAAACTTGATTCTGTACTGAACCAATTGGACAAGTAATAACAGTTTTCAGAAGTGTTGCGTTGACGGAAATCTTCTTGTCATTGACGATTACATCATACGCGTTCTCATTGGTTTGATTGATAATTGCTGAAGCTGAGTGTTCCAGCTCCACTATGGCAGACTTAAGTGACGTCAGTCTATCGTAGTAGATTCCTGAATAATCAAACATATCAACTAAGTTGCTAACATGAGCTAAACAAGGTTTTGTTTTTTAACATTCATTCTCAAAACACTCGCTAATGATTTGTGTTAAACTGTTGTTGTTGATCCTAAATTTCGATCAATTCTGATTTGTTGTGTCGACTTGTTCTTGTAAAAAAGAAGAATATTTTGTAAAGAGACACCTTAATTTAAATGTCTTTACTTCATAGAGTAAGTCGTGAGGGTGTGACTGAGAAAATGCTAACATTTGTTATCATTTGCACAGGCGTCTTTGGCATGCGTGGAATTATTAAACTCAGGTTGTTGTATGTTGTAGACTGTCGACAGTCGGTCGTACCTAATATTAATATGTTATTATTAATAAATATTACGTGTAAACGTAATAGGCGTGAATAAATTGTGAACGTCGAGACAGGAAGTATGGAGTGTCATTAGGCACGTTCGTCTCTCGGGACTAAAGTTCCTCGCGTGACATGTTTCGCATTTCCCACCAAACGTCTACGGCGTTCGAATGTCTAGGAAACACAATTACATTATGCCCGAGGACTGTCGACAGTCTAGTATGTTGTAACATAGTTCCTATTGTGGTTTGCTGATACTGAACAACTGGTGCTTGTTAAAACGACGTCAATTTAGGTACCCCTCTGATTGAAACATTGTGAAATTAACACTAATGAAATAAAGGCATTCAAGATCAAGAACGAAATTAAAATAAAGTTAAAGTAGTTAACCAGCCGTCTACTACTGTTACAATACCTGTGTAGTTGTCGACGTTTATCTCATTTTCAGTATTGTCCACGGATTTGGACAGCTGTATATCTACCAATATATCATCATCACCGTCTTCAGCATCGCGTCGTTTGCGATTCTCACAGGAGGAGATGATTTTAACCTGACATTCTTTTCTCTTCACGCAGTGTATGTTGTTTACGTTCTTCTCAACCACATTGTTTATTGTTTTTGACGTATGGCCGTTTTTACTACATTTAGCATCCGGGTACTTCAGAAGATAGCTTACAACTAGCTCGTTGGGTACATCAAGTTCTGAGTAAAAAAAACGTTCACGTTAAAGTTGCACTGAGTTTATTCCTAGTGTTTTATTTATTACGTGAAACATCTGTTTGTGCGAAGTTGCGCGAATTGTGGGACTTATTAGTAATTAAGGATTCACTCAGATTCGTAATTCGGAACATCCTGGAAGTGAATTTATGCACGTGACTATTCCAAAGTGCTGGCAATGAAATCCGAATCAACAATAAAATAAGAAATCGAGACAGTCATCAACATGCGCACACACTGGAGATCATTTGAAAAAATGTCTTTTTTTACATATTCCTCATTATGATAATAGTCACACAATCCGAATACAGCAACCTTATAAATAATCTTAGAGTGCAACATTAATAATAATGTGCCCATACTTGCAAAGGTCTAGAATTTACAAATAGACCAACTTTTTTGCAAATGGCTGCCGATATCTCGTTGGAAGTGAGAACATCATGAGTTTGTGTCCTCCAAAATAGTGTTCCATTCTCTATCGTTATCGCGTACACTGTTCTCCTGACTAACGAAAGCACGGTGACGGTATTTTGAACAATGGACGGGATGAGAGTAGTAAATGGAACATTATTTGAGAACGGCTCAGTGTGATTACACGAGAAAGAAATTTATTTACTGCATTCATAATTTCACTAATAAGTTTTTCTTATTCAAAATCAATCAAGGTGTCAGGAACATACCTGTGCATGCTGGAAATCTAGCCCGTGGATTATCTGGTCCTTCGTGACTCCATATGTACCCAGTACTAATGCCACAGTAATAGCGTTTCTGTACAGGTGTACTGAATCTGTATCCATGTATACAGTATATACTACAGTTGTAGTCCAGTTGATCGGTTACGTTGGCACATTCCATGAATCCTCGAAGTGGACGATGTGGTATTTTGCAAACTGTGGGTGATAAAATGTAGCTTAAGCATTACCATCGATTACGTACTGTATTGAACACTATTTGGATACGCATATCTATGGAAGATTAAAATATGTTTTGTGACGCAGACGATGAGCGCAAAGTATGCCAGTAGCGCAACGCCCTCTTGTGATGACAGGATGTAACGAACATTATGAGCATGCGCGGTTATTCACAATTCTCCCCAACGGTTCAACATTGTTGTTGTATTGAACATTTCTCAACATTAGTATACTTCAAAGCGGGTCACAAACTTACCAGGGCATTCTACTTCGTTACATTCTCTGTGGGCATAACGTTGACCATGACATTCCTTGCCATCTATATCCGGGGCTGGGTTATCACATCGACGCCATCTTGATTGGGTGCCATGACTACAGGTATGGCTGCACTCACTCCATTCACTCCATTCACTCCACTGTCCATTAATGATTTGAATTTCGCAAAGTTGTCCTTTATAGCCATGGGGGCATTTACATGTGTAGTTGTTGATACCATCTTGACACGTGGCTTCATTCTGACATATATTCTGTTTGCAGTCATCAATGTTTATTTCACAATGCTTTCCTGCAAAGCCAGGTTCACACTCGCACGCATATGACCGCAGTTCATCAACACAAGTAGCCTGCCCGTGGCATGGGTTACTAGCACACTCGTTCGTATCTGGAAATAGAATATAATCAAAGTTGGAACCGAAAGAATTGTTTTCTAGGCCGAGCATGGAGGATTATTTATTGGTCTTACATCTATTCCATTTGATGACATCTGAACATTTCGCAAACCTTGCACACAAAGGATTGAAGTTTGTTTATCATTGTTTAAAATCTGATGCATTATTAATTCAAAGATAAACCGCTTTCCTGAAACAATCCATCCTGTTAAGCTTATTAAAAGTACACTGCCGTGAATAAAACATCAGGGGCGGATCTATTTAGAGAGGGCGCAATGATGTCATTGCTGGTTCAGGTGGGCGCCCCCTGAACTTCCCTCTAAATCCAACACTGGCAATACTCACCGTCACACATAGATGGCATTCGTAGTGGTAATGTTTCATCCAAACCATTTATAAAGTCAGACCACGTTACCAAGGGTGGAATGCTGTCTATATTGGATATTTCACAAGATGATGATAGTAGCGATATATCACCAGCTTCTAGTATCACGTCCCATATGTATAAACTTGTAATGTCACCATAAAAAGAGGAACCACCAATTGTGACCGAATGGCTGGTAAAAATTCCTACAGGAAGTAGCAAATAAATAAATGAAAGAAATTGTATGTTCTGATTACGCTTTTTATTATTCAAATAATTTACTTGCTAGACCTTGGCTGCCGTCTTGGCAAGTCTTACCATTAGATGATGATCCACGACGCTTAGATAGGTTATCAGACGCTATCAACAAACCGTCTTTATAAATTGCCCATTTACCCAGCGTGCCATTCCAAGTCAGCGCCATGTGGTGCCATTGTTGGATTCCCAGTAAGATATTCGCCAGAATAGAGTATCTGAATATGTACAATATAGGGAATGTGACAAAGGCATCAAGTTTACAGTGATTAAAACTTAACTTCACATAAAGAAAATGGACGCAACTTGCTCGGATATGTAAACGATTTCAACGTATATGACACTTTTGACAGTATTTTCCTAGTAATAGATTCACTTTTTTCAAATGAAATATTCAACGTTGCTGTACTGAGCACCTGACGGCAAACCATTATTGCAAAGGATTTCACATAAGTGAAGTTTATTCTTTGTTGTCTTCCTACCGAGAGCTTTAGACATTTAACCCCAGTCTAATAATGGCATCGATGTACATGAATCTGTTCTAAGACACGACGATGAATGAAGTTTGGTCAAAAACGTCTATCACTTTTAAAGCACCATACGATACGGGCGGCACTAATATGCTAATGATATTTAAAGTTCCAAGCAATGGCATAGATGACCACTCAACTTACCCAACCGTTTCTATTTCCAAGTTGACAGGGTTTTGGAATAAAATTAACTCGGGCTCTTTACCAGTTCCTTCTTCGCCCACATACGCAAACGAGACGATATCTTCCGAAGAATTCACTTGCATCCAAAAAGACAACGTAAACGTTACAAGATTGCGTACATCGTTGGGGGCCCCTGGGAGTAGTGGGAAATTTATGTCACTGCTCGCTGAAAACATGACATCAAATCCTGTGGGAATAATAAAAGTATATCTCTATTATGTTATTAATAACTTTCAAGAAAAATGATGTTTTTGTTATAAATTAAATCGTAAGTTACAGGAAACAATTCTTAAATTGGCCTTCTTTTACTTGTTGCGCACGATAGCACGGTGTTTCAAAGTCTATTCATGTATAATATTCAACAAAAACAGTTAAAGAGATAAAGAGATGTGGCACTGTGATGACAGTCTCTTCGTTCATTCATGTATCTGAGATCTGCCTTCTTTTGATTACTGACAAGAATCCGCAGTGTTCTGTGATTTTCATAGCGAAGTGTACGATTGACATGCGTAATGATCTAAACATGGAATATAATTATCAAGTCATATGACCATGCATGCTAATTATTTTTTTGCGTTTGAAAACAACCACATATTCATTTCGAACTGGATTGCATTGCAAGAACTCCATTCGGACCACCACAATAACATTTTAAAGAAAAAAAACGTTTATAATAGCCACAATGCTGCAACATATTAAATCAGACACATAGCCAGTCTGTTAGACGTTTTAAACTGAATTAAATTAAATTAAGTGGATTGCAGGTCAGATTTTACAAATAGCAACTGGGTAATCAAGAATGTATCTCATCTCATTAAATCTCGATGTGCCTTGGATGTTCTCTCTCACTGACAATGTAGTAAATCTATCTACATGTGACAGAAGATATATTTTCCCTGCAAGCACTGATCATATAGATAGTGCTGGAATTCTAAACTCAACGGGAACACTTGAATTATGAATTTGAAATGGTTTCAAAAATTTGAAAGGAGAAACTGATTGTAAGGGTCATCGTAGCTAAATTGTTGCCCAGTGACAGTGAGTTCGTGTAAGATTATATTATTACATATAAGACATTCACTTCATTTAATAACTAATTAACTATGTGTTACAATTATCACCTTGGTTATTTGGACTACTATTTTTTCTGTTTTTGAATAACCGGAAAATAATGTGGATGGTCCGCTTGAAAATGAATTCTGAACCCTTATGCATTATCCACCTTTGTACACGTATACATAAGTGCATAGTAATAATGTGAAGAACAGGTAAACTGTGCAAGTTTGTTTTCTCCATTTGGTTATTTTTCCTATTTTGTTGTTGTTTCTACTCTTCATCTCGGTGCATTCACAAAAGAGGTGGGATAGTAATAAAAAGATGGGGGAAATGATGATGATGTTAAAATCAAGGTCATCTCTCTGTCATACAACATAATAGTCAATTTCAGGAGGACATCTGAGGTCCTTGATTATTATCGACCGACGCGCAGCGGAGGTCGATGCGCGACGTACTGTCTGGGTGCATACTTTGAGGTATTCTCGTAGTAACCTTATTATTATACATCTTTTCCTTTCAAGGATACACCATGAGAATGCTAAAATCCGAAATGTTTAGAATAGAATCAGCGAACTTCTTTGTGCGGAGTTATGTTTGTTTTTATTATTAGAGGGCGCGTAATCATCCCATATTTGGAATTCGCATTTGCTAATATGGTAGGTTGAAAATACCCCGTTAAATACCGCAACATTACGGCACGCTGTAACTTATGGCGTTACGGTGGTAGATGTATAATAAGTTATAATAAACACGCATATAAACAATGTGTTACATGATTCATGTTTGAATTACTCACCACTGCAGGATTTGACTGACGTCATCCCCATTTGTAGTGTAGTCGTTCCCATAGGACATTTGATGCAGGAAGTAGAGCCATAGTTAGGCTGATAAGTTTCTTTAGGACATACAGAGCATGGCTGAATACCATCCAATGAAAAGTGTCCAGGGGCACACATAGCTATTGTTGAATAATAAAATACTGAATATTAATTATTCTAATTTCACTCGCACAGTAGTGTATGGGTACACAAAAACACATTGAATGTCTTGGTAATATTTAAATTGAAATGAGCGTAGTTGATATAATGGGTGAAATACCATTGATCACAGATGACGACTCCAGATTTATATAAATATATTTGTGGAGCACAATTATTGTAATGCATTTTGATTTACATTAGCATTGCTTTGGTCTAAAATCAGTAAGAATTCTTACGTTGACAATATTCAACATTTGTAGCTCCCACCGTAGACGTTGACATTCCAGCATGGCACGGCTTACACGACGTCTGACCCTGCTCATCTTGATAAAATCCAGTCGAACATTGTTCACATTTGTCTGAACTAATATTATAATACGTCCCCAAACCACATGCCGCTGCGTAAAACAAACAATATATAATGTATTACTCGACGACAGTCAACTGTTCGCACATCACTCGTCAGTATGATTATTGAATGTCATGATATTTAATTTGGGTAGAGAACACTGTGACATGATCAGAGTAGTAAACCCATTACTGAATTATCGTGAAAGCTTGCCTATAGCAATCGCAATGACAAATTATACAAATACCATAAGGGAAATATGGAAAATTAATAAATTAATAAATCGGTACATTGATGTCATTGAAACTTGCAACTATGCAAAAAGATGAAAACAGTGTTACTATAAATTTAATTGTGAGTGAGAGCATAACACGAGAACTAGATGCAGAACAATTGGTCTCTAGAAAAACAACTTTAGAATATCATAAGTGCAAATGATTAGCAATAATTTTGTTTTTGTTTTCTGTGACAAATGAATGATAAACGGCATGTAAGTTTTATATGACTTGATATGTTATAGGATACACGAATCCAAGGAGAACCTCGTGTTGACAAAATCATACCGAAGTGAAGAAATACATAGGATGTATTGAAGTAGGTTTATAATTAGCATTAACGAAGACATACGCAACAACATGTCTTACTCAAAGTAGATTCAGAATACCCAAACCATACCAAACCCAAATGATCATGTTTGTCTAAATAAGATTGTACACATAATGTATAATGTATACATGTATTGAAAACAATGCAGACGTGTGCACAGTGTTTTTTCAGATGCTCAAATTTATGCTGTTTTGGTTTAATCACATGATTTTAACCCCATATTAACATGCCGCTTAATAATACAAGTTGAATGAGAACGCATTTTACATTAAATACCTACCACATGTATGGTTTGTATATCGTGGCAGAAATCCAACACTGCAACCAAGTTCAATACGTCCATACGTAAAAGATTGCTTTTCAAGTTCCAATTGCTTGTTCCCGAGATTGGACATATTCATGTAACCAGATCTGATTGAATCTTCTACCTTTTTCGCAACTATGTGGGCATTCCTGTCAAACATAGGTCCTCTTCCGGCAAAACTATCCGTCACATTTTTGGCTCTCACTTTGATTTTGAAATCAACAAATAACAACATTCCATAAGTCTGTTCAGGTGACATGGTCCTTGAAAGTCTCAATTTCGGTACCATTGCCGACCTCTCCATGGAGGCTAATCCAATGAAACGTCTGAAAATCAGTCCGTACTGATTGGTTGGCGAACACCGGATGCTGACGTCGTGGACAGAGCAGACAACGTCTGAAGAACACGTATCGGGTAAAAAGTATTTATGTAGGTATTTCTGAACTTCGCCTTTAACGGTTTCCTGTAAATTATTGTCAGTGCAGTTTGGGGTATAATAGTACCACTCAGAAGGAAGAATACTCCATTTAGGATCTTTACTTTCTGGTCAAATAAAAATCAATGACAGTCGTTGAGTACATTAAAACTAAAACATAATGTAATGTCATTACATGATGTTGTGACAATAACACGACCAAATAACACGGAGTCTCGTTACGATGTGTTTTGCCGAAAACTAATAAGCATTGCAAGTACTGTTACCTAATTTCAATCGTCCTAGATGCGCCTATGTCTAAAATATTCACATTGGCGAATGGAATCCAATGAGACTGTTACCATGATCTGTTCTAATGAAAACGAGACGTCATCTTGCTGACGTCACTTGTAGCTCTTTTTTTGGGTCGTAAGTCATGAGAAAAATAATGCTTATTTTATTTAATTATTTAAAGCGCATATTGAATTTTTTGTTTAAATATAACCGCATAAAGATAATATATCTTACAAAATGTATGTCACCGGAAGGCTGACCTTGACAGTACACAGCGACATCGACCCACATTACTTTGTAATAATTTAAAGTATTCTCGTAATAGCTTCATATTATTATTGTTTGATGATTTGATGTCTGGAACATGTATGGCCATGTTATTAAGATAATACACTTAGCATTTTGCATTTAGATCTTTCCGATAACTATACTTCCGGTCATCATTAGACCGTTTTGAAGATTGTCAAATGTGATTTAGAAGATAATTACTCGTTGCACAGATCTCGCGATAATGTAATTCCCCTTCTATCAAACACTCTAACTATAAATGTACATGTTTTGTCAGTATAGTAGGGTAAGTTAGAACAAATTGTCATCTTATTGAAAAAAAAGAATGAATTCGAATGTATATTCATCATCTAGTCTTACTAGTTTTGTTCTTCGTAAACCATTATTATTGCATATATATATATATATATATATATATATATATATATATATATAT